TCTAGGGTGAAACAGATCACCAGCCCAGGTTGGATGCATGAGACAAGTGCTCGGGCCTGGTGCACTGGGAAGACCCAGAGGGATCGGGCGGAGAGGGAGCTGGGAGTGGGGATCGGGATGGGGAATACATGTAACTCCATGGCTGATTCATGTCAATGTATGACAAAACCCACTGCAATGTTGTGAAGTAATTAGCCTCCAACTAATAAAAATAAATGGAAAAAAAATTTCATACTATGTTCTGAAACTTCAGATGAAAGTAAATAGGGTCACCTCTATCTTAACTCTTCTTTTTTAAATATTTTAATTGGAGGATAATTGCTTTACAGTGTTGTGTTGGTTTCTGCCATGATCTTCTTAAGTTGAAATTTTAAAATCAACTGACTGTGTAACTTTGTTATCATTTTTTATATGGAAGGAGTGATTTTTTTGACAGACAAACCTATGAACATTTATTAGAACAATAATATATTCTCTTTCATAGATAAAACTGGTAACAAAAAACAGATGGTAATTTTAATGATCATTTTAAGTATCAGAATCTAAAGGGAATAGGCGCAAAAAAGGAAGACATTTTTGTGACAAAGAAGCCCTTTCTGGAGAACATTTTTGGAACCTCCTAGCTGTGTAATGAATATATATTCATATACAAATAGAAATTAGCTTTTTTCCTTTATACTAATAAATTTATGTGAAAGCCTTTTGTTTCTCCTCATTAATATTATGTAAAATATATTTTTGGAGTTTTGTTTTTAATTATTATTTATGGTGTTATACTATAGAACAGAAATCAGTCTTGTTTAATGCAAAGAATACCTGCTATTAATAGATGGAAAGGATGTTTATCACTTTGATACTTCCCACCTTAACTCTCTCTGCTCTAAATTTTTATAGAGATAGCTATTATTCCCAGGAAAAAAAGTCCATGGCTTTATTATTAATAGTAAATAGTGAACACAGGGTCATTTAAGAAATGATTATTATTTTTAAGGCCATTATGAAATTACTTCTAATTAAGCTTTTTGGTATACCTGTTGATTTGAGGGTATTCACTTTATTACTTTTGTGTAGTATCAAAATTAAAATACATAGTTTCTTTGATTTGTAGGAATCAGTGAGACATTAGTAACTTAAGGAGATGAAAGAAATTATCATCAATAAGATGATATATGAACAGAACTTGAAAAATCAGAAAATGTTAAGTCATGTGAAAAAGTTGAATATATAGTTTTTTAATTTAAAAAATGTTAAAAAAGCAACATATTACTATTATAAATTAATCAAAGTTTCATTTAAGTGAACAAACCTTTTCCTGCCAATGCAAAATGCCGATTATTGCCAAGATGAAAACACAGACACCAATGAGAGCTATAGCAGTAAGTAGAACGATGTTACTTGGTGTAAGATACAGTTTGGCACTCCAGCTGTAGATGAAAAGAGAAGAATTGAAATTACACATTTTAACTTAAAAATAACAAAATTCTATTGTGACCAAAAAGCAAAAGTTCTTATTAATAATCAGTTCAGTCACTCATTAATTCTTCCACCTATATCGAATTCATTACAAGTAAAACAAAAGCAATTAAAATTTTATAGGGTTAAGAATATTGACAAACCAGCAGAGTTCAGATTTTACTTCGAGAAATGAAACAGAAAAGAATTTTTGATTGAGATGCTTTGATACTTTTCCTTGCTCCTATGAGGATTATTTTTGAGCAAACTCCAGAAGATAGTGAAGGACAGGGAAGCCTGGCGTGCTGCATACAGTTCATGGAGTTGCAGAGTCGGACACAACTCAGTGACTGAACAACCACCACCACCACTACGACAAACTTATTCAGGGCACTTGGGGCAATTTTAGACATCCTTTTTATGTCTTGTTTGACTTGCTGAATCTGAAACCCTGAACTTTGAGGCTAAGCTGTCACATGCATTTGATAAGATTTCTATATCTACTTTTGGACCCCTGCTCACATGTTTATTATGACTAAGGAAAATAACCACAAGTCCGAGCAGGTGCAGAGAGGGACCTGGGCCAAGTGTCATGCTGGGAGGTTACAGCATCACATCCTCCAGAATGGCTCTAGTCCCTCAGTGGGGATGTACAAACAGCACACATGATGCAGCTAGCTCTTGCTTCTGAAACAGACCACATAGAGCCTTCAAAACCTTTGAAAACCGTGAAAAACCTAAAACTGAAGTCCATATCACCAACACTGCAGGCGGTTATATGTAAAGAACTTTTTGTTTTCTCTGAAAATAGATAATGGATATATTTTCATTTTAAATTTTAATAAAGGTAAGAATTATTCTGATAAATTGCAAGCAGTGATTGACTTATTTGGGGATAATTAAAATTTACTGATCCGTAAGTTAGCTTCTAGTCAATAAATCTCTAAGTATACCTCAAACTAAAATCAATTTTAGTTTTTATTATGTACATAAATTTGAAAAGAACATTTGTTTTTCAGAAGGAGCAAGAGAAACATGAGAAATGTTGAGCTTATGGAAGAAAGGCTTTAACAGAATTCCCCAGAAACTCAGAGGAAGAAAACCTTAAATACTGTTAATTAGTTGAGGTTGGCTATTCTCAGTGCCTTACTTCATACTTAAGAAAAAGTCCTTTCATGAGATTTTTTGGGTGGTTCTAATTTAAAATTAGATTAAAAGTGAATAAAGGAATTTTGGTAATAAAAAATACTAAACAAAAGGCCAATACTCAGTTTCTTACTCAGAAGCAGTCATGCTTCTCAGTTTCTTATATATCTCTCTATATATAAACGTATTTGCATAGATATCTTCTAAAATCACAAATCATTGCTTATTATACATATTTTAAGTGCATTTTCTGTTTACTGTCTTTAACCTTACCACTCTTTTTAAGAGACTGTTCTGTGTCATGATATTATGATATAGAAGTACTATAATTCATATAGTTTTTTTGTGTAATTCATTTTGTTATAAATTTCAAAATTTTAATAGACTCATTAAAAAGGTCTGAACTCAGACCATAACTGGCGTTATTGATGTTATCTTATTTCAAACATAATGCTGTAACACAGTTGTTTTCTTAAGTAGTTTGGTTCTACTCCTGGGTATTTATCCAAAGAAAATGAAAACATTAATTAGAAAAAATACATGCAACCATATGTTCACTGTGGCATTATATATAATAGTCAGGATAGTGAAAACAACCTAAGTATCCATCAGTAGATGAAGGGATAAAGAAAAATGTGAGTCCTCACTCTCTTTCCACATACACACATTTATACATATACACATACACACAATGGAATATTTCTTAGCCATAAAATAGAATGAAATCTTGCCATTTGTGACAACACGGATAGACCTAGAGGGTATTATGCTAAGTGAAAAAAGAGAAAGACAAATACTGTATGATTTCATTTATATGGAATTTAAAAAATAAAGACAAATGAACAAACATAAGAAAACAGAGTTACGGAGAATAATAAGTGTTTGCCAGAGGGGAGAGGAAGGGAAGAGGGAAGGAGAGAAATGAGTGAGGTTGATTGAGAAGTACAAACTTCCAGTTGCAATGTAAATGAATCATGGATATGAAATGTACAATGTGGGGAATATAGTCAATGATTATGTAACGTCTTTGATGACAAACTGTAATTAGACTTGACTGTGGTGATCATTTAGAAATGTACAGAAACATCAAATCACTGTCTTGTGTATTCTGTATTTTGAGTGTGGAAGAACTGATGCTTTCAAACTGTGGTGCTGCAGAAGCTTCTTGAGGATCCCTTGGACAGCAAGGAGATCAAACCAGTCAATCCTAAGGGAAGTGAACCCTGAACATTCATTGGAAGGACTGATGCTGAAGCTGAAGGTTCAGTACTTTGGCCACCTGATATGAAGAGCCGATTCACTGGAAAAGACTCTGATGCTGGGAAAGATTGAGGGCAGGAGGAGAAGAGGGAGACAGAGGATGAGATGGTTGGATGGCATCACTGACTCAATGGACATGATTGTGAGCAAACTCCGGGAGATGGTAAAAGACAGGGAAGCCTGGCATGCTTCAGTCCATGGGGTCACAAAGAGTCGGACATGACTTAGTGACTAAATAACAACAACATACTGTGTAACTGGAACTAACATAGTGTTGTAGGTCAGTTATATTATTTTTTAAAAAATCATAGAAAAAGCTCAGATTTGTGGTTACCAGGGATGGGAGGTGTAAGGGGAGGGAATTGGATGAAGGCAATTAAAAATTACAAACTTCCAGTTATAAATAAATACTATGAATGTAATGTACAACATAATAAATAGAATTAACTCTGCCACGTTATATATGAAATTTGTAAAAAGAGTAAATCCTAAGAGTTCTTATCACAAGAAAAATATTTTTTCTATTTCTGTAACTTTGTACCTATATGAGATAATGGATGTTCACTAAACTTATTGTGATAATCATTTCATGATGTAACTAAGTCAAATCATGATGCTGTATACCTTAAACTTACATAGTGCTGTATGTCAATTGTATCTCAATAAAACTGGAAGAAGAAAACAGTGTAGCCTGTATTTTGAGAAGAAATATAATAAGCCACTAGTTACAAATTCATAGGTTATTTCTTCATATTGACATCAGAATAGCCTTAAGAACAAGTTATATTTTTCCCAATGAAATTTAAATGTTAATGAATACCTTCATCACCTACTTTTTGAAATAATGGAATCAACCTAATAATTTAAAGAAAAATGAACAGATAAAGATTTAGAATTAAATGCTACATTATAAAAGGAATGTGTTTTGCTAGTAAGGTTAAAAATACTTATCATTCACTGAAAACAGTATCTGCTGGGTACTGTGTTAAGCACAGTGGCTCAGCTGGTAAAGAATCTGCCTGCAATGGACCTGGGTTCGATCCCTGGGTTGGAAACATTCCCTGGAGAAGGAAAGGCTACCCACTCCAGTATCCTGGACTGGAGAATTCCATGGATTGTACAGTTCTTCAGAGACAGGAAGGAAGGACTAGCTTCCTGTTTTAGTCAGCTAGCAGTGGATTTGAGTTTCTTGCCTGAGTGCGTTGAACTTCAAAATTTCTGCCTAACCACTGTGGGACACAAACCACTTCTCAAAAGCATTTGCTAAAAAGATCATTGCTTGTGAAGTTCAGCAGCCTGAAATTTTAGAATTTATGGCCAGTAAACTGAGTTCAGTTCAGTCACTCAGTCGTGTGTGACTCTTTGCGACCCCACGGACTGCAGCACGCCAGGCCTCCCTGTCCATCACCAACTCCCAGAGTTTACTCAAACTCGTGCTCATCGAGTCGGTGATGCCATCCAACCATCTCATCCTCTGTCGTCCCCTTCTCCCGCCTTCTATCTTTCCCAGCATCAAAGTCTTTTCAAATGAGTCAGCTCTTTGCATCAGACCAGCTTATTTAATAACTGAAGACCAGCTTATTTAATCAGAACATGTATAAATCCCTAGTTAACCTGCTGTTTTTCTAATCAGGTTTAATTTGTTCTTTGTGGAAAATGTCAGGTATTTTATGTGTAGGTATGTTTAGCCATTTAAAGTCTGCTGTAAGCAAACTAAGTGATGACACTCATAGGAACACAACAGAAATAGAGCTTTAAAAAGATGTATCTATGATTCAGAGTTGACAGTATTTTTACCAAATTCAATTCAAGCAAGGGCATTACCTTCGAGGAACATTGGGAGGATATGGAATGACAATTAGCTGAGAATTTGGAATGATTGCAGTCCATTCTTGTTTTCGTACAGACTAGAAAAAGAACATTTAAGAACATTTAACATTCAGTACACTTTAAAAACATGATTATTCTAAATAAGGAAAAAGCTTAAGCATTTTTTGATAAATTGAAATTCTACATATGGATTAAGCTAAATTTATAGATGTAAGGTTCCAAATAGGGTTCCTATTTACAAAAATTTCTTCATCTTTTCAGGGAAGGATTATATTTCTGTCTTATGGATACATTAATTCAACAAGTATTTTTTGAACACTCTTATGTAGCAGGCACTGTTCAAAGTGTTAAGTACAAATGCTGCTTTGGAACTAAAATTCAAGTTAAGGTGGAGTCTGACAGTAATCAAAAATATTTGGTATGTCAGATGGTGAAAATGATGAGAAAAAGCAGGGAAGAAGAGGGGTAGGAAGACTTAAGGTATATTTTCAAATTATAATGTCCTGTATGTAAGATAAGCTTAGATCGGTCACTACCAGTGAACTTTTAAAATTCTTTAAAGGAAATGAAAATATTTAAATTCAAATATTTGAATACTGAATATTAAAAAACAGATTACTTGTAAATTTTTACTCACCTTCTCTCCAGATGGACGTGGAATACCAACATAAAGATGATCAAGAAAATTGGCACTTCGACCTAAGCCAAGTACATTATATGGCAGTTGGAGAGCTAAATGCGCCGACTGGCTAAGTTGTCCAGCTAAATTTATTTTTAAAAAAGAAAAAAGAACAATACATCTTTGGAGACACTGTTCTTATCAAATATTAAAATTATAAAATGTTAAAAATTTAGGTTTCTATAACCTATCTTTAAGGATAAAAATGTGAAATGCCTGGTTCATAATATTAATAATTCACTTTTTAAAGATAACAGCTTTATTGAGAAATAATTCACACTTCATAAACATCACCCATTTAAAGTATAAGTTGAGTGATTCTGAGTATCAATCAAATTTTATAACATTTTCATCACCCAAAAAAGAAACGTCATACCCATTAGCAGTTAATTCTATTTCTAACCCTTGCTCTTCCAGATGCAGGTAACCATTAATCTACTTTTTTAATATCAATAGATTTTCCTATCCTGGAGATTCATATAAATGCAATCATGTAATGTGTGCTCTTGATGAATGATGCTGCTGCGAACATTCACATACAAGCTTTTGTGTCAACTTGTTTTCCAAAATGGCTGTATCATTCCACAGTTCCAAGAATAATATATGAGGGTTCCAATTTTTCAATATTCTTATCAACACTTTATCTTTCTGATCACAGCCATTCTAGTGGTTATGAAGTGGTATATCATTGTGGCTTTCATTTGCATTTACCTAATAACTAATGTTGTTTTCTTTTCATGTGCTTATTGGCCATTTTTGTAGCTTCCTTTTTAGGTCTCAAAAGTTTTTAGTTGTCTCTTCTTTCATTCTTGATTTTAGTAATTTGAGTCTTTTTCTTGAACAGTCTAGCTAAAGGTATGTCTATTTTGTTACTCTTTGAAAAACCCAACTTTTGGTTCAACTGGGTTTTCTCTTGAATTCAAATATTTGAATACTGAATATTAAAAAACAGATTACTTGTAAATTTTTACTCACCTTCTCTCCAGATGGACGTGGAATACCAACATAAAGATGATCAAGAAAATTGGCACTTCGACCTAAGCCAAGTACATTATATGGCAGTTGGAGAGCTAAATGCGCCGACTGGCTAAGTTGTCCAGCTAAATTTATTTTTAAAAAAGAAAAAAGAACAATACATCTTTGGAGACACTGTTCTTATCAAATATTAAAATTATAAAATGTTAAAAATTTAGGTTTCTATAACCTATCTTTAAGGATAAAAATGTGAAATGCCTGGTTCATAATATTAATAATTCACTTTTTAAAGATAACAGCTTTATTGAGAAATAATTCACACTTCATAAACATCACCCATTTAAAGTATAAGTTGAGTGATTCTGAGTATCAATCAAATTTTATAACATTTTCATCACCCAAAAAAGAAACGTCATACCCATTAGCAGTTAATTCTATTTCTAACCCTTGCTCTTCCAGATGCAGGTAACCATTAATCTACTTTTTTAATATCAATAGATTTTCCTATCCTGGAGATTCATATAAATGCAATCATGTAATGTGTGCTCTTGATGAATGATGCTGCTGCGAACATTCACATACAAGCTTTTGTGTCAACTTGTTTTCCAAAATGGCTGTATCATTCCACAGTTCCAAGAATAATATATGAGGGTTCCAATTTTTCAATATTCTTATCAACACTTTATCTTTCTGATCACAGCCATTCTAGTGGTTATGAAGTGGTATATCATTGTGGCTTTCATTTGCATTTACCTAATAACTAATGTTGTTTTCTTTTCATGTGCTTATTGGCCATTTTTGTAGCTTCCTTTTTAGGTCTCAAAAGTTTTTAGTTGTCTCTTCTTTCATTCTTGATTTTAGTAATTTGAGTCTTTTTCTTGAACAGTCTAGCTAAAGGTATGTCTATTTTGTTACTCTTTGAAAAACCCAACTTTTGGTTCAACTGGGTTTTCTCTTGATTCTCAATCCCCTACATATTTTCTCTCATTATATCCTGTCTTCTGTTTCCTTTGGGCTTAATTTGCTGTTCTTTTTATAGTTTCTTGAAATAGATGGTTAGGTTATTGATTTCAGACTGTTCTAGGTATTTATAACAAATTTTCCTCTAAGAACTGCTTTTGCTGCATCCCATTTATTTTGATATGTTGTTTTTTTTTTTTTTTTCATTCACCTATTTTCTAGTATCTATTGTGATTTCTTCTTTGGCACACTGGGTTTTTAGGAGTGTGTTGTTTCATTTCCAGATATATTTTTAAAATGCGTTATTTAATGGGTCTTCACTGTGCATGGGCTTTCTCTAGTTTCAGTGAGAGGGGGCAAGTCTGCAACTAGAGAAACTCAACTCTCTTTTGGTTACTCTTTGCATGGTACAATTTATCCCATTTTTTAAAACTTTCAACTTATTTATATCTTTAAATCTAAAGTGTTTCTCTTGCAGGTAGCACCTAGTTGAGTTATATTTTAATATCCATTCTGCCGATCTCTGCCTTTTGATAGGAGTATTTATTCCATTTACATTCAATGTAATTACTGATAAGGTAGGACTTTTGCCTGCTATTTGCCACTGGTTTTCTGTATGTTTTTTTAATTTTTCTATTTCTCCATTGCTGCTTTCTTTTGTTTTCTGTTACAGCATTTTAATTCTGTAGTTTCTTTTATTATATATTTTCTGAGTGGTTTTCTTAGTGGTTACCCTGGGGACTGCAACTAGCATATTAACAAAACAACTTAATACCTAACACATAACAACAACTTTGCTCCAAAGTTCCCACCCTTTTGTGTTATTATTATACAAATTATGTTTTTATATATTCAGCCCATCAACACAAATCTATAATTACTTTATGCAGTTGTTTTGTAAATCACCTAGGAAATAAGAGGAACTATTTAACACAAATACATAAACCATATTTTATACTTCTCTGTAGTCTTACCAGGTGCTTTTTACTTATTGGTGTGGATTCAAGTTACTGTCTAGTTGTCCTCTCAGTCAGGCTTAAAGGCTCCCTTTAGTATTTTAGAAGAGTGGCCTGTTAATGATGAATTCTATTTTTATCTAGGTGTATCTAAAATTCTTCATTTTTGAAGGATAGCTTTGGCACATATAGGGGGTTGGTCAAAAAGTTCATTTGGGTTTCTCTGCTTTTATGGAAAAACCCAAATGAACTTTTTGGTCAATCCAACAGAATTCTTGATTGACAGTTTTTTTTTTTTTTCCTTTCAGCACTTGGAATGTATCATCCCCTTCTGCCTTCTGTGGTTTCTGATGAGAAGTCAGCTGTTAATCTTGTTGAGGCTCCCTTAAATGTAACTAACTGCATCCTTCTTGCTGCTATGAAGTCTCTTTTTGTCTCTATTTTTGATAGTTTATGTGTCTCAGTGCTGACTCTTTGAGTTACTTTGTTGAGTTTCTCATATGTGCAGATTAGTGTTTTTCATCATATTTGGATGGTTTTAGCCATTACTTCTTCAGATATTTATTCTGACCCTTTCTCTATTTTGGGCTTCCCTGGTGCCTCAGATGGTAAAGAATCTGCCTGCAATGCAGGAGATCTGGGTTTGATCCCTGGGGAGGGAAGATTCTCTGGAGAAGGGCATGGCAACCCACTCCAGTATTCTTGCCTGGGAAATCCCATGGACAGAGGAGCCTGGTGGGCTACAGCTTATGGGGTTGCAAAGAGTTGGACACATCTGAGTGACTATCATTTTCACTTTTCTCTCTTTTTCTTTTAAGACTTGCTTTATGCACACATTGGTATGTTTGATGGTGGTTTTGCAGGTTCTGAGATTTTTTTTTTCTTTCTATAAACTTGCAATTGACCTATATTCAGGTTTGCTAAAAAGATGTTTGCTTCTTGGAAGGAAAGCTATGACAAATCTAACTAGTGTATTAAAAAGCAGAGACATCACTTTGCATATAGTGATGCATATAGACAAAGGTGCATATAGTCAAAGCTATGATTTTTCTAGTAGTCTTGTACAGATATGAGAATTGGACCATAAATAAGGCTGAATGCTGAAGAATTGATGCTTTTGAATTGTGGTGCTGGAGAAGACTCTTGAGAGTTGTTGGACTGCAGGAGATGAAACCAGTGAACTGAATATTCACTAGAAGGACTGTTGCTGAAGTTCAAGTTCCGATACTTTGGTCACTTGATGCAAAGAGCTGATTCACTGGAAAAGACCCTGATGCTGGGAAAGATTGAGGGCAGGAGGAGAAGGGGGTGACAATGGATAAGATGGTTGGATGGCATCACCAACTCAATGGACTTGAGTTTGAGCAAACTCTGGGAGATAGTGAAGGATAGGTAAGCCTGGTGTGTTGCAGTTCATGAGGTCACAAACAGTTGGACACAACTTAGCGACTGAACAACAATTCATTTTCCAGCTTAAATCTGTTGATGAGCACTCTACAGAAATTTTTGATTCAGTTATTATACTTTTTAACTCTAGAGTTTCTATTTGATTTTTTAAAATGATCTTCACTTCTTATTTGTATCTTCTTTTAGTGAGACACAGTTGTCATGCTTACTTTAGGTTTTTTAATCCTAGTTTCCTTTAGGTCTTTGAACATGTTTTTAATAGCCAATTTATAGGTTCTGTTAACTAAGTCTAACATTACTGTGCACATTTTCTGTTGTCTGCATTTTTTTTTTAAAATGTGTATGTGTTTTTACAAGATAGGCTTTGTTTTCATTTCTTGCTTGAGCAGTGCCTCAAGGTAGCATAATCAAGCTATGTATTTTAATGAGGTAGTTTCCCTTCTAGGCATGTTCTTAGATGTCCAAGAAGATGTTCCAGCATTTCCAAGTTGCCTATGGTTGTTGAGTGCCTTGGGACTTCCTTTTATGTTTTGGCCAGGCTTTTGTTCACTACACCTGGGATTCTGCCAGCACACTGTTGTTTTTGGTAATGTCTTGGAGGGATTGGGCTTTTTATTTCCCCTGCTAGGTTGAACTCTGAGTCAAATCAGATAGCCCCAACACTCTGAGAGTGGAGATTTCCTAAGGAGTTGCTAGTTTAGACAAATATTGACAGTGTTATAGGGATGAGAATTTTAATGGGGCTCCAAAGGTCAGTCTTGTCCACTGACTGTGAGGCTCCTAGCTGTTTATGGCTGCTGCACCATTCAGCAGACAGGGGAGGTGGGATGGAAACAGTCCCAAGCTGAAATGCCCCAGACCCAGGTGTCTTAAGTATCAGGAGTTCCTCCCGGATAGACACTGCTTGGAACATTCTGTGGCTTTGGTTAATTTCCAGAGTTCTAAAATAGTTAGTATTGGTTATTTAGGCAGCATTTTTTGTTTGTTTGCTTATTGGTGGGGGGAGGGGACAGCAGGTTCATGAAGTCCTTACACTGGCATTCCAAAAATCAATCTCTCCTATTATAGCTCACTTTTAAAGACTGCTATTTACTTGCTAGGTACTTTCAACATAATTAAACAAACTATTTAAATGACAGGGTTACTTAATATCTAAATACTATAACATGCCATGGACTCTGCTAAACATCTACTAATGTTACCCATAAATATGAAATCATTGGAAAGTATATATACCTAATTTTTTATATAATTCTTATGTTAGTAAGAGAAAGGTATAATGAAAAGGAACAATGAATTTAGGGATAACTTAATAAAGTTTATGTATGTAAAACTATAAAGCAATATAGTTAATTGCAAGGGGTATGGAATTACTTTGCCTTGTAGACTTGGCTGATTGAATGATAATGCTTAAAGAGTGCCTCAAATATAGCAAACACTGTTAAAGTAAATGTTAAATATATACAAGTTTCATTATACTCAGCACAGACTGACTTAATAGACATCAAACTAGACTTATAAACAATTTCTCTATAACTACCTCACTGAAAAGAGCCAAATAAAAACATTTATCAATACTCTGTTAGGAAGATCATAGAACATAAATTCCAAATAAAACTGTATATTTCATAAGAAAACTTAAAAATTATTAAAAAGAATAATGAAAATAAATTATCAAAAAATCTCAAAATGAAGACATAGTTATCTTTTAGCATACTTTTAAAAAATTTTAGCATACTTTTCATCATGTAATTTTCTGCCTAGGCATGTGCATGAACAAGTAAAGACATTAACACACTTTA